TCTTTTAATTGTAGCCACATTATCATACATTTGATTTTCTTAAATTACACATCACTCGAACGAGCACAAAACATTCAACAAAACCTGATATTGTTCAGATCTTAAATAAATTTTTCGTTATTGAAAAGAAGTTAAACAAAGTACCATTCGAAAAAAAGAAGCTAATTCTTCCAGTAAAATAATTATTACGATAAGCAAATTTTATTAGTTTTGGCACCGACAATAGTACATTGAAATATAACCTTTGCAACAGGCTGAAAGATGCTCAACAATGAGTACCATTAGGATTAGTGTATTCATAGAAATCGTTTTAAACATGATTTTCATTTGTATAAAGTCATGTTTCATAATCAATACGTAAAAGCATGTTAAGAACGGTGTTTACGAATAGTTAGGATATTAATACTCCAACGTAGAAAACAAATAGCAAATGATTGTATTACTTACTGTCTGTTCAAAGCAAGAATGGACTCTTTGTTCATTAGCCCTTGGCAGAAAGCAGCTAGACAACTGTGAGATAGGATTTCCAGATTCTTTTCACATAATATTAAAAAATTCACTATTCACTCAGGAAACCCGCAAAATGAGTTAGAAATTGCGATATACAATACCTAGACTATTCAATAGTCATGATTATATGTTTAGTGGACAAAACTAAGCATGTCCTGATGTTTCCAACTCATTCTTCGGTTTCCTGAGTAAAAGATGAATTTTTTCAGTAATGAACAGATACTAATACGATTATTTACTACATATTTTCTACGCCCGACTATTACTATCTTACTGAAAAGCACCTTTTTAATATCCTTTTACCTACTGATGATGAAACAGGACTTTGTACAAATGAAAATCATACCATTTAACCACTTCAGTCATTGTATAGAAAACAGGTAAGAACAGCGAAGTTGAATTTTGCAGTTCGTCTAGTAAGATCAAGTTCGTATGTTCGATCCTAGCTTGGTGCAAGGAATGATTTTGTATTTTGATAAGTCTAAGTTTCAGAATGATATAATGCGAATTATATATTATCGCTTTCGTTCTGGTTCAAGATTAAAGCTTAAACCAAAATCATGTTTAAAACAATTTTCATGAATACACTAATTTCAATGGTACTCATTGTTGAGCATCTTTCAGCCTGTTGCGAAGGTTATATTTTAATGTACTATAGTGCATTTGTAAAGAATAAAATTCTGTAGATATGCTAAAAATTGCTCTGAACCGATAGAATTTGCTTGTCGTAATAATTATTTTACTGGAAGATTAGCTTCTTTTTTTCGAATGGTACTTTGTTTAACTTTTTTTCAACAACGAAAAATTTATTTAAGATCTGAACAATATCAGGTTTTGTTGAATGTTTTGTGCTCGTTCGAGTGATGTGTAATTTAAGAAAATCAAATGTATGATAATGTGGCTACAATTAAAAGAACAAGAAATAGAGAATTCTCCAATCTGTGAAGAAAACTTGTTGATACGTTTTTTGCTCAACGAGGAAAAGTTTTCAAAGGTCAAAGTAGGTTTTATAGGTAACTTTGCATGGAGAATTCGAAAATCGTATTTAACAACGTATATTTTTTGAACGTTTTATAGATTTCCTTCACACACTCACATATTGTCTCTTAAGAAGTAAAAAATGAAGGAACATAGAACTGAAACAGAAGGAAGATTCGTGAAATGTTAGTTAGAATCTTGCTGTCTCAATTGCATATTGTATTATAAGCTTATAAATATCTGACATATGTCTTTATTTTGTCATCTTTTTCTTCCATGAGGTTTGTCACTTTCTGTCGTCATATCTAGGCAAATTACTTTCTCTTTTCTGTCGTATCTAAGTCAAGTTCACGTTATCCTTTTTATTAGGCCTCTAGCATTCGAATAGAGATATACATATATCTGAAATATATGTCATTGGCTTCACATTTATGACATGTTTCTTCACCGAAAGAGAGCAGTTATATTCTCGCATTTTGTTTTTCAGCTAACAAAATGACGTAACAGAAAGAAGAAGAAACAGTCCGATATATTTAAAAATGAGTGGCAGCGTAGCCCGAAAGTGTCGATAGTAAGTAGTCTGCAATATGCGAGCAAAACTAAAGAACAAATTTTTTCTTGTTTTAGTACGATAAAAGAAAGAAAAACAGAAAAGAATATAGAAGGATATCTAGCGCATTTGTCGTCGAATACAGTCCACATGGCAATAAATATATCACCATTTTGTTAGGTCTTGTATATATCTCTCTCTCGTGAAAAAGAAAAGAAGTATGTACAATAGCGGTTCTAATAAAGTAAAACGGTCGGCTTCATCTCTTCGTAAAAAAACTAGATATGTGTGGTTTGATTTTCATTATATCATGCTTAGATTAATCTGTCATAACTTAGGCACAAACATATGGTGTGCACAACATTGTAATTTAGTCAAAACGGTTTGCTTATGTTACAACTTACAAGGGGACCTCGCGAACTGTTACATCACTTTATCAGCCAAATCCGGTGGGTTATAGGTTATCAACTATGCTGAATCCGGATATCATAGTGGTAGCTGCAGAGAGGGCTCCAGAGAACGATTTTCTGGAAGACTAGCTTTTCAGAAACTCTAAAGAGTAACTAATACTTTTCTTAATGGTAGCCAGCAAATTTCTTATTAAAATGAGACATCCAAGTATTAGTTACTTTTTAAGAAAGGGTTTTTGGAAACCCCCTCTGCAGCTATCACTATAATATTCGGATTCAGTATAGTTGATAATCTATAATCCACTAGGTTTGAATGAAAAAGCAATGTCACAGTTCCTCGTGAGTTAATTTAGATACGACATATAGACTATGCATGTTTTTGTTGTACATAGTTCTCTTTTCACAGTTGAAAAAGGTTGCGAAAAATCGAAAATGTTTGTCACGATTTTACTCTTTATTTTTGTGCTTTTAGATTTGTGCTATTAGAAAAGAAAAAAACTATAATAAAAAGGTAAGAAAACCTGGTATATATCTGATATTTTTGGAGTTTTAATATTCGTTTTGAATAATCAAACAATTTCAATATAGGATATGGAAAAAATGGAACAAAACGCACAAAAATTACCAATAACTGATCTGGATGAATATAATTCATTATCATCATCTATGATATTAGCACAAAAACGACGACACTATTATCTTAGACCAATGAAATTATTTATTATGTCATCTATGGCAACTGAATTAATATTTTTAATTATTGGTATTTGTGTTTTTTCAGGTTTTAGAGATATTTTCTATAAAATAGTTTGGACATTATTTTTTTGTGGTGTTGGAATGGGTGCAACAATGGGAACATTAATAAATATATTTATTACTGATCAATATTTCAATTATAAAGCAATATTTGGTTCTTTAATATTGGGTATAATTGTTTTTGGTACATGTAATATATTATGTTTTAATTTAGACCATCATTTTGATTATTGGGGTGCAATTAAACATCCAACATTTTTTCTTTCAAAAGGTTTTGTTGCTGGAATATCTGGAAGTTTAATAAATGGGTATTTATTATTTAATGCTAATGGACAGAAACTTTTAATTAAAATGGGATTCTAAGCGAATTGTTTTTCTTGGGAGACAATTGGTCTTTATTTCTCATACAAATATTGTTCAATGCTTGTCACTTTTTCAACTTTGTGTACACTAAGTTTCTACAAGATAACAAAGAATTTTTGCTTTAGAGATAGACATGACATTTTTTTTTGGAATAAACTCATTTTTCACCGCTAATATTGTCAGATATGGGACTAGCGCAAACGATAATAGTACTATTGTCGGCGCAAAATACGGTGCAGATTGCCATTCTTTTAATAACTCAATATCAGCGCAAGATGGAACGTTGCCGTTTTCATCAATCGAAAACAGACACCTGAGGCTAGCCTTCCGCAGGTCAGAATGATCTTTTAAAAGACTTTTGCTACCGATTTTTGTGTAGCTCTCTGAAAACTAACTTAAAAATACGTCGATCATATTTCATGGACAGATAGCACGAAGTGTTGTCTTCAGAACAAAAACTTTCATAGCTCTAAAACTTTTGGACTTTTTACGTTACAACTCAATAAAGTTTTGGAAAGATCTTCAGAAATGTACTTCGAGCGATACAGCTTGAAACATTTCCTTAGCGACGCATAAGCAATTAAAACGTAACTGCTCCTTATTTAACAATATATAGTCAGTACTTCCGACATGAGCATCGAATTCAGTATGCAAATTTACCTTGGGATTGTAATCCTAAAGTAGTATCATATCATTTTTAGAAAGCTGAAAAGTCATCAAAACGGGAAAAGTCAAATTTGATGAGGTTATTACGTACAGCGCGTTGAGTTGGGGCAAATCATATCTTGTGCGACCTGGAAGCCCATGTCGAATAGGTACGACAAATATATGAAAGTAACCTCGGGAATAAAATAAATTTCAGTCTCAAAGCTACGAAAGTTTTTGTTTTACCATTCGATAGATAATGCAAAGGCGAGACGAATACACTATTTGAAAGTGATTTTCCATTTTGCTTTGGGCGCTTGTCCATGGTCAGATCTAACATTAATGAGATATTGATTAAAGAAAATGACCTATAACCGTTCAAGTTAGGAACCACGTGAATAAAGCAAACGCCAAGAGCATTTTTGTAAGGTATCGTTAATTAAAAGTTTTACTTTTTGTTCTGAACACATTTATTTTGATTCAGAATTTTGCGCTGATCACGAATATTACCTCATTTTTTCGATTTGACCGCGTCTTCACAGGGAAAACGCAAAATACTGAGCATAGGTGGAAAACGTCAAAAGATTTGCCCTTGGAAAAATCAACTGCAACTCCGTTTCTTTCCACTTTTCGACCTTTTTTATGTGATATTCGGATTCCTCGAGTGGAAATGGGCAGAGACAGATTCTCTGTCAAATCTTGCGCGTCATATCAGCAGAAAAAGTTTTACAAGTGGTACATGTCAAAAAGTGATCCATTATTTTGCAAATATATCCAGTTTTTTGCCTTGATGGCTAGTGCCATCATTCTTATGCTAAAAAATTCAGCATCGCGCGCGGCAAATCTTTGTCTTTCGAAAAACATTTGCTGCGAGGAGAAATAGCGCCTCCAATACCAGCATGTTAAAATCGGCGAAGTCGTCGTGCAATAAAACGTTTAACTTCGTCCAAAACTTTTGAACGCAACTTTTGAAAACGCAATAGAATAGCCTAATGATTTTCGTGTTTTTGGGTTTTCAGGGCCAAGTAACACTAAACATTTGCCTATATATACCAGTAGTGAACCTTGAACGTTTTATGGATTATATAGTAAAACGTTGGGCCTTTCTCGTGGTATCGCTAAAAAAATCTCAGAATGTTGTGGAGGAGGAAGGTTTCCAAAAACCCGATTTGGGTCCTTTTTGCGATAGATACATTTTCAGCAAAGCAAAATGGAAAATCACTTTCAAATAGTGTATTCGTCTCGCCTTTGCATTATCTATCGAATGGTAAAACAAAAACTTTCGTAGCTTTGAGACTGAAATTTATTTTATTCCCGAGGTTACT